TCTCCATTGTAAGCAAGGTGGTTGTGGGTGAAGGTTCTTGCCCAATGACACATTCTCTTGTTTCATTTATTGAGTCGTTTTAGATGAAAATTGTGATTGAAAATGTGCAAATTATAACAAAGATCCACAGGTGGCATAGTCCTAGATTATAACTATTAGGGCTGCTCGATTATGGAAAAAAAAATCATTGTCAGTATTGAAATCATGATTATTCAAACGATTATTTTTTTGTTACACAATGCATTTATTCAGCATTTCTCTCTCAAAAATAAACCAAAAAGCTTTGCTATTGATAATTTACACAAAAATTTCAAACTGAAAATAAATACAGGCTACAAATATGAACCTTAGAGCAGTTTTGTGATGTATAAAACAAAATGAATAAAATATACTTTGAACATGAAATAAGGGACAGAAAAAGCATAAATGTATCCAAAATAAACTATATATCCAGCTGTCCTACAATCTCTATATTTATTCTATGCTGCTTTGTTAAGCTTTAATCGTTTCAACTTGATTATGAGTTTGGAGATCGTTTGACACACAAATCGAAATAGCGATCAAAATTCAATTAATAGCACTGCCTTAATAACTATATAGAAAGCTGAAGCACAGTATGTGTTCTTTGAAATGAGTTCTCAAACTGGCTTATGTCATATAAATATACACAAAAAGAGTCAGTTTCAAATGACTCTTTGAAATGTCTGAACAGAAAACGAACAGCTCCAACAGATTCAAATCCCGTAAAAGAGCCAAAAGTCCCATCATTATTCCATCCATCCGACTATGCGACTGTAAAATCCAATACCTCCAATCTGATAAACACCAGTGAACAGGCCCTCCAGCTCAGAGCCTGCCACACCTTTGTTGCATGTGTCCCAGTGTTTGGTAGCAGCTTTGGGAGCAGCTTGTGTAGGGTCTGGCCCGGGTGTGAAATCCACATCAGATGGTGAGGAGAGCGCCTTCCATCCAGCTTTTCTTCAGCGGCAAACATCTGATCTCCGTGTGGCGCGTGAGTGCGTGTTAGTGCGCACCTGACCCCAAACACAGCTGTCAGAACAAGCCCGGCCTTCTCACTCGCTCAAATCCCTACGCCGCGCTATTAAAGGTTCTATATTTTGCGAAATTGACTCTTGTGTGATTAAGATTTAACGTTGTGTTGTGTTTCATTCACATGTTTGAGTAATCCTTTATTATTAGTCTGTCTACATCTCCAAAGCTCAACCTTTAATTCAGCAGAGATTGGCAATTCCAAGGCTCAAATTATCCAAATGATTGTAGAGAAAGTGAACACAACGGAGAACTTCCTGTATTACCACATTATATTACACAAAACTCAAACAACATAATAACATAGATCAGAAAATAGCGTAATACCGGCATTTTAAGCAACAAAAATAATACAAACATCTAAAAATAAAGCTGGTAGTAGAGCAGAGGCTTGGCTCGATGTCAGCGGGTTTTAGTAAAGTCTGATTAAATGTGCTGGAAAAGCTCTCTACGGTAAATAACAAAAGTGTCACCATGTTGTTAAATGGTCTGTGTATGTAGCGCATAAAATATACATCTGCAGAAGAGGCACTTTTTAACTGTGATGCGTTCATGAGCGGTGGGAAAAAAGACGTTTAAAACAACTTTCAGGATGAGAGAGCTTTAGTGAGGAGAGGTGCTGGCAGGGAACTGATAAGACAGACTTAGATGCTGCAATTTTTACCTATAACGTTGAATAATATTTTAAACGTATATGTAATTTAAAGAGGCATACCTGATTTTTTTTTATGCATTTCTAATACCAAAACTAATATCAAAACTTGATACTTGTTTGAGCAGGTATCGATACAAAAAACTCACTTTCACAGGACAGAAATGAACCTTTCCTGAATAGCTTTAGAATGAACTTGAGCTGTATCAGAATAAGTATAAAAGCACAAAGACAAGTATATGGACCACTGAGGGATTACACAGAAATTCTAATAAGTTTTTAAAAGGGACAGTCCAGAATTTTGGACATAGGACCTCGTTTCCTAGTTGGCCAGAGTGTTGGAGACGTGTGGAGACACTTTTTAAAATATTCCATCCAGTCCTTGTATTTGCAGAGGTCGCTGGTGTTAGGCTAGTGCATGTCAATGGCCATAGTTAGCCTGACATTGAAAACAGTCTTACTGTCTAACAGCCTCAACAAAGCACCTGAAGCAAATCTATTATTACACCAGACTGTCGCTGTAAATGTCTGTGTTGATAGAATAACCTTGAACCTTGAACCTTGAACCTTGAATAATGTTTGAAATAAAACTAACCCTGTATCACATGAATCGTCGAATGTTGAGGGACTATTTTCTCATATATCAGTCGGCCGCTGCCAAGCTTTCTATCAGGAAGTACAATTTGCTGCTGCTGTTCTGACATAAATCCATCAAATGCAAGGTTGGTTTTACTTCTAAAATTATTTTATCAACACAGACATTCACATCTGGCATTATCATTGTTTTGCTTTGGGTGTTTTGTGGAGTGGGTAAGACTGTTTTTAATGGCAGGCTAACTATGGCCATTGACATGCACTAGCCTAGCACCAGCGACCTCTGCAAATACAAGGACTGGATGGAATATTTTTAAAAAGTGTCTCCACACCTGTCCAACACGCTGGCTCACTAGGAAATGAGGTATGTCCAAAATTATGGACTGTCCCTTTAATGATCAATATCGTAATCGGTATTGCATATCGAGTCTGTTCTTAGTATTGAAATTGGAACGTTAGTATGATGACAACACTAGCATAAACAACTCAAAACAAATCTTCTGTGTGCTAGCTGTGTCTAATTAGAAAGTGTTTTATTGTCAGTGAATCAGGAAGTGCTTGCTTGGAATGCTAGTTCTTATTAGCATTAGCCTGCTATGATAGCAAACTCCACTACAGTTGTTAAAAGTGCCATTAAACTCAATAATTAGGATGCTTGGAACGTATAAGATAAGACTTTGTCACATTTTTAAACAGTAAAACTCAGGTACAGCGCCTTTAAAGTTTGAGATGTACAAGTCCAGCTGTAATTGCCAGGGACTTTTTTTCTATCTTAAAAATAATGATGCCATTATCTTAAGCCTGCAGCCCAAATTACCTTAAAATAATTTATAGAGTTTGGAGTCAATTAATTAATGTATTATTATTTTAATTAAAGAGCTGTCCATACTTGATTTTGTTAGTGCATTAAGTCATTAGCTTTAGCCGCATTAGCTTTGGGCACACCCTTCCCATTCTTATCTATTGTTAAGAAAATCTCACATCATTATTTAAAGCGCACATTTTTTGTCAGTTTCTGTAGTTACGAAATTCCATGATATGAATATTAATTGGCTATATGCCCACTTCCCTATACAATACTTTTAGTCAGTCAATACTTTTTTACTTAGTGTAAAAACAATATATATTTTGAAAAGCTGTTGAAATTAAAAAACAGAATTATGCATATACAGGCGACTCATTTTGGATTAATATCTGATTTTCAAAATAAAGGATGTAGAAACAAGTACTCAGCAACTTATCTGATAAAAATGTATTGAACACTGAACTCTAAGATAGCACAATTTTATAAAAACAACAACAACAACAACAACAACAACAAAAAGTTTAAATTTACAATATAGCACTGATACTCATAGATACAAATTTAAGCAAGTATTGTTTAAACAAGTATCAATACCGAAAAGAACCACATAACAGGACTATAAACAGTGATGTTGATATCCGATACTGGCATCAGATATCGGTGCCAATACTGAAAAAAATTGCTGCTCTGGGTTTTGACTGCCAAATATCGGTTCAGTCGATATCCCGGTTGGACATATAAACTGATGTAATAAGGCTATTTACTGGTCATGGTCAGCCAAGAAAGTCTCAGTGTGTTTGAAATTTATTTATACAAAGCTGCTCTGTGGTTAGTATAGAGATAAATAACAGCTTGACAAGACAAAACTGATCCAAATGTCTTATTTTATTTTTGTTTTAAGGAAATAAATGCTGTTTTCTGTCTATGCACTGGTATCGGCAAATAATACTACTACTACAATTATTTCTACTACTATTGACAAATAAACTACAGTATCGAAATCGTATCAGAACTGAAAAAGCTGCATCAGTGCATTCCTAATAATAATACACAAATCCTGTTTTTTTGTGTTGAAAATTACAATATTGTCCAAAAAAAAAGAGCTTTTAAAATGATAATTTGTGTATCAAAATCGGCATTGAGTATTGATATTCGTAAAGGTGCATTGTGTAACTTTTTGGTTAGGGGTCCATTACCTGCTGTTGTTATGGTTATGTCATTGCTCTGCTTGGAATGTTCCACAGTATGACTTTAAACAGCTTTACGTTATATTTATTTATTTTATTTTAAGTACAGGTGGTTTTATAGCTTAAAAATACAGAGAAAAACAGGCATTCTGGCTGTGAGCGGGCTTGCCTCTCCACAGATCTGACCTGTAACTTGGCCTAGTTTGGTCTCCATGAAGAAAGAATCATTCCAGACAAAAGCAATAACACCTCCATGGAAAAAGCATTTGACCGAGCTTGCACTAGAAAAGTTACACAACACACTTTTAAGCATCAAGATACTACAATACTACAATACTATACTATATTTTACGTACATATGCAGTATATCGTGCAACCCTAATTGACTCTATAGCATTGTCACACCGCCATCGCTTCCTCCCATTGAGCTAGTGCACCGTGGGAAGTGTGAGTTCAGCCACGGGCCATCACAGCTCCATAAGCCACTGTGGAACTGTGGAGGTACTCTGAGGTTATTACAGCGCAGCCAGCAGTCGATTCACCTTCTCCCGGGAAACCCCTTCGGAGGAGGGGGTGCACGGGGGGAGAGGGAGGGAGGGGTGCACGGGAGGAGAGGGAGGGAGGGGTGCACGGGAGGAGGGGTTGAACTCAGCACTTTCCTTATCTTCTCCCTGTGTGTGTGTGCGTGTGTGTGCGTCTGTGTGTGTTCCAGGACCAGTGGCCGGCAGCACTAGCAGCAGCAGAGCCAGAGGAGCAGCGGCGGCAGTAGCAGCGGTAGCAGGCTTAACGACGCTAAGCACACTGTCACGCTGTCTGAGGGAGCACCCGAGCGCCCGCGCAGCACCCGCCCCCACCCGCCCGCCCGCCGTCTGAGGTGACTAAGGGCTTTCAGGGGAGGATCAGGCCGGGGAGGGGGGGAGGGGAGAGGGAGGAGGGGCAGGAGGGACATATACTGTAGGTGTGGAGAAGGAATGAGAAAAAGTGGCCCTGAGTCGTTTGTTGTCATGCAGGCCTATGTTGTACAGTACTGTGCAGCAAGTCTGAGGCCACAGTGGATTTGTGAGAATGTCATGAACCACCTTACACAGTAAAAAAAAAATAAATAAATAATATATATATATAAAATAAATAAATATATATATATATATATATATATATATATATATATATATATATATATATATATATATAGATAGATAGATAGATAGATAGATATAGATATATAGATATAGATAGATAGATATAGATATAGATATATATAATATACTGGGATAAGAACGCTCAGTGCAAAGTGAAACAAAATATTGCCTAGATTTGTATTTATTTTTTAAAGTTTTCCTGCCAATGAGGTTAAAATTTTATGTCCGATATACACAAGATTTTTTTTTTTTTTTTTTTGCATTCATGTTCGAACACACAAATAAACCATGATTCAAGCAGGAATAAACTGGGCTAGTGTGAATGTAGGTCTATTAAATTATGTACCGAAAAGTGGCTAGAGACTGGTATTGTAATCTGTAATCTTTTTTTTTTTTTTTTTTTGCAATTTTATAAACTGTTCCCCATTTTGTCCTGTTCAAAATGTACGGGTCCATCTATATACTGGGTAATCCTAGATGTTTTATCAATTTGTATACAAAAACTGAAATTGGGAATGTAGAAAAAACTGAAATAATCATTATAAGTGTGTATAGTGTATATAAAACTATTCAGCTAACTTTTATGTATGTTAGCCATAACATAATTTTCTATTTATATTAAAAAAAAAAATTATAACCACGCCAACCCAAAAAACATACCAGTTAGATGAATTTTTCACAAACAAAGCACAAAACAGTTCTGCAATTTTTGTATTAATTTAACCGTACCATGATGTCATCTTTATGGGGTGACAATTACTGACCACGTATGCTTCATCAAACTGACACACACACACACACACACCCATGCACCCCTACACACACATTCACACACGCACACACACGTAAACACACAGCATGGAACATTTGGCCCATGCAGGATGTCCGTTATAGAAGGACTGCATTGGCATATCAACAGATTATACCTACTTAATCCCAATCACTTATCCTGTCTCCAAGTGCAAGCCGGTGCCTCCTGTCTGCTTATCATTTTGGATATATCAATTACTAACAACTTGAGATTCTCAATTTGAGCTATCCTAAAAAGCCAACTCAACTTACTTAGAAACCTGGCATCATTTCGACCAAGTTGAGTATCTGAACCATGCTCCAAGAAGTAAGGTTAGTCCATACCGAATCTTATCATTTTGGATATTTCAATTACTAACAACTTAAGGTCTTCATTTTGAGCTAACCTAAAAAGAGATTTAAAGCCAACTCAACTTACTTAGAAACCTGATATCATTTTGACTAAGTGGACTGTCTGAGCCATGCCCCAAGAAGTAAGGTTAGTCCATACCGAATTTTATAATTTTTCAACAACTTAAGACTTTCAAAGTGAGCTAACCTAAAAAGCAAATAAAAGCCAACTCGATTTACTTAGAAACCTGACAAATGCTAACTAAAGCCAAATCAACTTAATAAAAAATCTGATATCATTTTGAACAAGTGGACTGTCCGAACCATGCCCAAACAAGTACGGTTAGTCCATACCAAATCTTACCATTTTGGATATTTCAATACCTAACAACGTACGATTTTCGATTTGAGCTAACCTAAAAAGCGAATTAAAGCCAGCTCAGCTTACTTAGAAACCTGACAAATTCTAATTAAAGTCAACTCAACTTACTTAGAAACCTGACATCATTTTAACTGTCCGAACCATGCCCCAAGAAGTAAGGTTAGTCCAATCAATTACTAACAATTTAAGATTTTCAATTTCAGCTATTCTAAAAAGCGAATTAAAGCCAGCTCAGCTTACTTAGAAACCTGACAAAAACTAACTAAAGACAACTCAACTTACTTAGAAAGCTGATATCATTTTGTCCAAGTGGAGAGTCCGAACTGTCCCCCAAAAAGTAAGGTTTGTCCATACTGTATCTTATCATTTTGGATATTTCAGTACTTAACAACTTAAGATTTTCAATTTGAGCTAACCTAAAAAGCAAATTAAAGCCAGCTCAACTTACTTAGAAACCTAATATCATTTTGACCCAGCGGACTGTCCGAACCATGCCCCAAGAAGTAAGGTTAGTCCATACCGAAGCTATTTCTAACCTTGCTGTTACAAATATCTTCTCCATTATCTCAAACATATCTGGCGGGGGTGCGTACGAGCGTGACCTAGTGATTTATTTCAATGATATTAAACCTAAGATTGACTGTCCTGATTTGTAAACGTAGCATGCTAGCTGAGTCGTCTCCCCAGCATCCATTCCATTGCTAAATTTGGACCTTGACGCTAAAATGGATTTGCCATAATTCACATGGAAGTGGGAGGATGGATACATGTGTCTAGCTGTTAGCCTGCGTGAGCTTGTAAACTATGAGGATATATGACAGGACCAAATTTGCACGTAATTTAGTGAACGTATAATTTTCCAATGTGATTCTTTACTATCTGTACGAAAAGTTTTTAGGAGGACTTTTGGTACAATGGCAAACTCCATTTTCCGGTACTTTAAAGGTCCTATATTACGCAAAATTATGAAGAAACTTATGAGCTTTAAGCCATGTTGCCTCATCAAGTTGTGTTTTGTTTTCATTCACACATGTTTGAGTCCTTTATTATCAGTCTGTCTACATCACCAGAGCTCAAAATGCTCTGTTCCACTTTGTGATGTCACTGATTTTAGCCTTATTTTAACTGCTTTACATGGTCTACTCTTACCAGTAAAGAATTCACCAAAGAACGTTTTTATTTTTATTACATTACCTGCATAATAATCACTCTCTTCCACCTTGTGACGTCATGTGGTAATACAGGAAGTGCTCCACTGTGTTTTTAAACTCCATACACTTTCACAAGAATCATTTAGATTTGCAGGGCTTAAATCATGAAATTGCCTATCTCTACTGAACTAAAGGTAAAAGGTACCTGTTAACTTGACAACTACTACTACATGACATCACAAGGTGGCATTTTGAGTTTTGGAAATGTAGACTTACTAATAATAAAGGATTACTCCAACATGAATGAAACAAAATGCAACTCCTGTATGTTTTAGAAAAGATAACAGCATTATAACATGGTTTAAAGCTCAAAAGAATCCATTTTGTGTAATATAGACCTTTTTATTATTTCTGTATTCATTCCTTTATTTATATTTTTGCAGTTATAGAAGCATGAAATCAATGAGAATACATCCATGATTATAAGAAAATACTTTAAAATGCAGAATAACTTACAAGCGCACCTTCCTGTATTTCTTTTGATAGCAGTAGTGCATTGAAACAGAAACATCCCCATATTTTATTTATATGTCAAAAGTGCAGTGAAGAGGAGGAGGGCACGGAGGGAGGGGAGCGGGGCGTATCACTCTATCCCCATGGTTGATATCTCTCCATCGGATCAATTCTCGCAGACAGGGGGGCCCGAGAAAGAGGCCGGTACGCAGGGAGGGTTGGATGAAGATGGCGGCCATATTGATTTGTCAAAGAAATACAGCTTTGCGTGTTTTGCTTAAATGTCCACATAAACCTGAGCTGTCAGAGAGTGGGAGGGCAGAGGCAGGCATCCTTGACACAGACATTGTGAGATATTGTGGATTTTCTGCTTGGTTTGGTGGTGTGCAAGAGTGTATAGTTGTCATGTGGTATTCGGGTTTGCTTTGTAAAAAGATTGCAAGAATAATTGAGCGACAAAGAAGTAGTAAAGATTGGAATGCATTTTATTATCTGGCAACGTAAATCAGCAATAATATAATTTGTAGCCAACTTATCACAGAACAGATTTTCAAGTCACTGAATTCATCTTTGAAATTAATTATTCAAACTAGATCAACATTTTCAGTTGTATTTGAGTGAAATGTGTCTTGCCCCAGTACATATATATTGTATGAGCAGCTCTTGAGGTCAAAATGTGTCTGCTGCGTTCTGTCTGCATCTAATTAGATTAGATTGGTTTTATTGTCTCATAATCAGGAAGTGCGCATCAGCATGCTAAGTGTTTTAAGCTTTTACTGTCATGGCAAAACTCCACGCTGGTCTCTGAGAGCTGTGAGAGCCGCTTGTAAACTCATAATGGTGAGTAATTAGGATATTTGGAATGCATAAGCCGAGCTACAGCGTTTTTCCACGGATCTGAAGGTTGGCGGTTCAAATCCCTCTCTCAACTTAAACATCATTGACAAATTGAATTTCTTCTTTTTCCATAAACATCATCGGTTTAACGGACGGATCCACGGGCCCACAGGTTGGCAGCGCGATTTCAGCTCCCACAGATGAATACTGTGTTCTTGAGCAAGACACTTAACCCACTTTGCCTTCGGTGTGTGCATACTTTGGTGTGTGTGTGAATGAGAGAGTTGTAATGTTGTAAAGCACCTTGAGTGCCTTGAAGGTGGAAAAGCGCTCTATAAAAATATGACCATTTGCCATAAGGTAAGTGAGGAATAACTCTGGACCATTTAAAGCAAACTTTTTTTTTTTTTTTTTCAGTCTTTTAAGAAAGTCAAAATATAAGTTTATAATTATAAGGTGAAATCCACTGTTGCACCTATGCAGGACAGAGTAAGACATGTAGCCTAACAATGTACAGTCTAGATACAAGTATACAATGAGTCATGAGCTAAGTGATGGATGAATTTAATTATTTATGAGACAAAGCCATTCTGCACTGGAGCACTGTAACACTTTATTTTGTAATTGTGTTTTTATAGGTGTCTATTGTACATAATGTGGATGAATGAAATCTGAAATGTAGGACCAGCCT